CATCCACGATTGCATGTCATGCTCGATTAAAATTGTCACTAAAACATAAACTTTACATGTCATGGAAACATAAATTTTAAGAAAGTCTTTTAAATTAATATAATTTTAATATTTCCAACATTTTAGTTTGCAATAGTTAGCGTTTTAAATTGGTATCAAATTTTCTAAATATTTAAATTCATACATTTAAGGATGAATTCATGCTAAAACTGAACTATTTTGACTTATTAACAACACGTCATGTCTTGAAACATAACCATAAAGATTATTCACAGACACAATATAGTTTCTTAAAGATATCCATTCGAAAAATATTTCGGGTTAATAGCCTCATTGCAACCTGCAATAAACTATAAGCATTTACATAATTATGTTGATTTAGCACAGTTGATGCTGTTTTTATATTGAATTCACTTATTGAAAAGCAGATGAAGAATAAATCCTTTTAAATGTGTTGTTTTGTTGATTATAAAAAGGCATACGACCTGATTGATAGAAGCTGTTTATGGTATAAGCTTATTAACTCAGGCTTTGATGGCAAATTGTTTGTTATTTTACGATCAATGTATGACAGTGTCAAGTTATGTGTAAGTCATACGAATTCTCTATCAGATTTTTTTCGAATGTAACTTAGGACTTTTGCAAGGGGAGATAACTTCCCCGATACTATTTTCCATGTTTTGAATGATATAGAAATGCATCTACAGCAAAGTAGCAGTGCAGGTATTACCCTGGACCAATTATCTATGTATTTATCAATGTTTGCAGACGATGCTGTATTGTTTTCTGAAACAAAAGAAGGTTTACAAGACTCACTTAATAATTTAGAAACTTATTGTAAAAAATGGAATCTTATTGTCAATATTGAAGAAAACTTAAATTGTTATTTTAGGAAGGGTGGTAGAATAAGTGATTGTTATAAATGGACATTTGCTGGAAAAGAAATAGAAATTGTTAGTTCCTTCAATTATTTAGGGGTTGTTTTTTTGTTTAACGATGCAACGAAAACTTTGGCTGGGAATGGAATAAAGGCAATGAATTAATTTGTTTGATGCTAACACGTGGTATGAATGTACCTGTAAATATAATGTTTAATTTGTTTGATGCTTACGTATTGTCAGTAATGAATTATGGCTGCGAAGTCTGGGGCTTTTTAAAGGCTGAGAATTTAGAGCGGGTTCATAAAAATTTTTGTAAATGGTTGTTTAATGTAAAACGAACAACAAATATATTATCTATGTATGCAGAACTGGGCAGATTCCCATTGTACATTAATAGATATGTTCGAATTGTTAAATATTTTTTAAAATTTTATGGTCGAAAAATGGAAAACTGTATAATCAGAACTATTGTTACAGACTAAAGACTAGACATTTTTCATAATACTGCTACTGTTAATTGGTCGTCGAAAATACGTGTTTTATTACTAAATGCCGGATTTTGTGATGTCTGGGAATTTCCAGAGTCAGTTAATATAGATGTATTTATACCATGTTCAGACATGCAGTTCGTTATTTTTGTATAGACATATTAAGTCTATTTTTAATCGTTCTGAATACCTCACTATTGTTGATATTCCTAGATACAGAAATGCTATTGCTAGATTAAGACTAAATTCACACAACCTGCATATTGAAACTGGTCGACATAACAATATTGAAAGGAATCGTCGTTAATGTGTAATTTGCAATTCAAATGATATCGAGGACGAATTCCACTTTGTTTTAGTTTGCCCTTTTTATCATGAAAACAGGAGAAAATATATTCCTAGATTCTACTATACACGTCCTAGTATGTTTAAATTTATAGAACTGCTAAATTCAAAATGTAAAAAGACTCTACATAATCTTGCAATTTATTGTATTAAATGCTTTAGGCAGAGAACTGACCAATTAAATAACTTATAAATCTTTTTTGTTATTATTATAACAACGTCATAATATTCCTATGAAAGATATATGTACTTTAATAACATGCTTACTCAGATCACTCTCAACTGTTGAATTTAGACAAATATTTGTTGTAAAGTTTATTTATAATTTATATGATTTGTGTGTATTATTGTATGTATGACGATGAGCTGTATGCTTAAGTCTTTAATAAAATTTCTGTTCTGTTTTGATTATTTTGAAAGGATTTATAATATAATGGGAATTTATTATGACCTCTCATATCATATATAAATTCTACTATTTAAAACGCTAACTTGCAGTAATTTTTGGCCTTATTTACCGGCATGTAATGTACATACAAATATATAATAAATGCCACTGAGAAAGGCCGAAAGCTACGGTTAGTTCAAATTAGTGTGTTTTATTTTATACGGCAAATTATAGATTTTTTTCTAAATTTTATTAGATATATATATATATATATAGTTTCTTCAAATACTCGCTAAGCATAAAGGATTATCTTTAAAGTCATGGGTTTCTTTTTGTAAAATAAATACTATTTTAGTTAAACTAAATCCGCTCCTCGTAAAATGCATTCAGCATTTGGTATTTAAAGTTCGGCAAATCAAAATACATGTCATACTTAATAAGTATCATTTGTTAGTTTTTTATATAATGCTGTTAATTTCAATTATAATTATAAACTTGGACAATTTTGATCTTTACTGAAAATTAATTAACGGATATATTAATTGACGAACACAGAATCAATTATGAAGAGATTTATAAATTTGAACAAGTCAATAGTAACATTCTGGAATATAATATTTACAATATTCATGTAAAACATTTGAAGTTTTAATGGAAACACTATTAGAAACTGTTAGTTCCTAATTTGTTTGTAATATGTATCAGTATGTGAGAATATGTCACTGGCAGAAACAGTGGCATTGTTGTTAAATTGCTAATACTTGACAAATTCAATTGTCGAGGATGGTCAGTGATTTAAAATAGAAAATAATTGTATTTAATGAACTTTGCTATGTTTCAATAAAGGCTTTTATTATATAATCTATAAATAGCTTTGAAATGCCTTTCCCTGATTGGTTTTTCTTCTAAAAATAGACTTTCTGGAAATCCCTAAAAGACGCGAGACTTTGGCGTGACGTCACGCCAAGTTTGTTGTTATTATTCTGAAGAAACGTTGAGTTGGGTGTACATAAGAGTCAAATTAGTCTATTTTAGTTACTGTTTTTCATTTTTAAGAAAAATAGGGATTAGCATGCCAATGGAAAGGGCCAAATTATGGAAACAGTAGACAAGCTGAAAAATAATGATTTCCGTTGTATGCAATGGCAGATGTGATAAGCCCTATATAAGCTATTTATAAATTATATAATAAAACAGATATGTACTTTTTAGCAGTTGAATATGAGGCTATCGCCTCGGTCAATATTAATTTTTTCAGTACATATCACATCATATTCAACAGCTAAAAAATCCATATTTGTATAATATAGTGTTGTAATTCTTGTTTCATTTTGAATGAAATATGCAATCATATTTTTATGTCGTTTGTCTTATTTATTTTATGTGATAATGACTGTAACAATGTAACATTTGTTCTTGACGAAATATTCAGACGATTTAATAGTATGACCGCATATAATTTGCAGTATTTTTTTTCTGTTTCTTCACGCATGTCTGCAAAGCAAGAATTTTGCCAAATGTAGAGTCGGCATTGTCTGCATTATGTCTGCATTAACTAGACGTTTGATCAGTGAATAGACAAATACGTTATGTGAACTGTATATTGCATAATTTGCCTTGTTTCTTGTGTGCATAAACTATCAAATTGAATGTACCATAATAGACATAACTGGCTAAGAATTAGACGAAAATATATTCTGTACCGACATTGTATGAATAAATGTATATTTCCTGACAATTGCAAATAGTTTAAGGAGATATGCTTTCTCTTCTTGGAATTTAACAATGTAAACATTTAACCCTTTAAAAAAAATACCACCATAACACATTTTAAATATCTCTTTCAAACATGTTCATGACAAAACAATATTTTCTTCGGAAGTTCAATTCTTATCCCTTGTATTTAAGGAAATGTGTTAATTAGCTTTTCAATTCTTTTTAAATTTCCTTACATATATAAGAATGAAATGAGAAATAAATAAATTGTATGAAATTGCTTGATGACTTGAAATGGTCAGTACAACAAACTATCAAATTTTCATCTGCTCGCTTATAACACTCGTTTTTAATTATGCAAACGATTTCCAAACACAACGGTTGCCCAAATCTTGAGCATGAAAGATGCCATTTGGTTTCTATCCAACCAATACTGTATAATTTTATCAAATTTTGTACTTAATGAGTAGTTAGGTATAAAGCCACAGTTTTATACCTCTTTGTTGAAGACGGTGATTTTGTCTGTTGTCCAAAAATCATGATATTTGTAAATTGAAATCATAAAAAAATTGGTTAAAATAATTGACTGAAAAAAATAGTTATGGGCCATAAACAATTAAAAAAAATAGCATTTTAATATATCTATTTATGTTCAATAAATTCTATTTAAATATCATCATCTTCTCATCCACATGTTATTTCAAGCAACTGTTAAGTAAGTTTAAGACTGCCAAACGCTAAAAGTAAATTAACTCTAGACATTGTTTCACTTCATCCCGGATTTTATTGATCGAATAGATTTGTGTTTTATTTACAATTTGTAGAAGTTTATATTGACTGGATTTCCTATAGATTTAAATACTACAGTGTTATTTCCAATTTTATTTTTGTTCCTCATATTTTATTTAAATATAGTCTATACTCTGTGCGTATCTACTGTTTATATACATACTCATGTTGAAACCGTTCAATATCGCTCTGTTATCGTTTCCCAAACTCTAATCTTAAAATGTATAATAATCTTAGAAAGAGCATTACCTTCAATCACTTTATATTGCTCTTGTTTTCAGGGACCTTTGTGTTTTTGCTATTCGTTTTATTTCAATTTGTTAAATTTCTTAATAAGCTTTCTTATTGATATCTTCTCAACGGCAATCGATTCAAAGTGCTATTATTTTTCAGGGACAAGTTACAGCACGAAAACCGACGGTGAGCCATACTTTCTTAACACCGAAAATAATATAACGGTCCACGAAGGAGATCTTGCTAGATTAAAATGTCGGGTGGCGAATCTTGGACCGAAAATGGTAAACGTGGTAGGCTACGTATTGTCTTGTGTATTTTATTTTTGTAAGGTCAAAACAAAGTCTATTTTGGTCACATCACCTTTATTAACAATTCATATTAATTCGTTTCAAGTTTCAATATATGTATATATACGATTTTGAACCAAACAAACTCCTTCAGATTAAAAAGAAACGTTGTTTTTATCTAGTTTTGGTGTTTATATACATAAGTAAATGTAGACAAATATACTATTTTCAAAGCCGATAAAGAGATTATATCGACCAAGACTAGACGATGTTTTGATCTCAGCAAGTAGCATATGAGAACTTGTTGGAAAATAAGTTTATTTGCAGAAACGTTTTACACAAAATTATTTCAGTGTTATTTATTTTGGCATAAATCATCTGATAATATATTACTGTCCTTCATATGTATCTTAATTGCAAAGATTGTCATAGTTTTGGAAAGGAAATAAGATATATCAACAGATCATCAATTAGTTCGCAATATAAAAAGGAGCATAACCATACATATAGCATTGGTAACATCACTTTGTGCTAGTGAATTGTCATCTTCTAAAATTGAAATAAGTACGAACCTATTTACACAGATGGAATTTCTTAATTGTCATGTATATATTGCCGCTATGTTTAAGATATAAATTAACCTTATTGTTCTAATTCGTTTGATTTCCCAATTCAAAATGATATTCAGCTTGGACATAATGATATACATATGTCGTCAAATGATTGCAATGCTTAACTTATATACCTGAATGCCAAATTAAAAATTATTTCAACACCAGTCTGTATATTGTACTAAGATGTATATTCATTATTAAATTTTCATATTATATATTCCGGTATCACAATAGTCTTGGGGGAAATGGCAATGTTGCATTTTTATGGAGCTAATTTTCCTTTTATTGAATAATTTTATTTTAAAATTACGAAAGTTCGAATAGGCTGCTTGCATGTAGTCGAGTGTAATATTTACGACTCATGTTCATGTATGGTCTTGTTAGTGCGGAGACTGTTTCTGTTTGACCATTGCTCATCATACGTTTTATATGTAAGTAGCTTTGCAGTTACACTTGGACAAAACATATTATCATATGCATGACAAAATCCGCTCCCACAATATTATATCATTTTATTGAAAACTCATAGCATGCATTAAAAGTGAAGAAATAAATTTGTACCCTGATTTGTGACGATAATATATGTTGAAAGCGCTGTATACTGGCGGAGCGGCAATTGCTTTACTTGTGGATTATTGAATATTTTGAGATAAATAAAAAGTCTAAGTGTATTATAAAAACAGGTGTGTATAATGTTTACCTTGCTGTTGAAGTGTCCATGAAAAAATGAATTAACTTTTTAATGGTTCAACAAGCAACAATAAAATAATTTTCCGATCATGTTGTGAAGAAGTTCTTGTTATCTAGAGAGAACTGTGTTGTAAGTCAACACATGTCTGGTTTATCCATAATCTTATATACGTTGCTCCTAAATCATTAAAACAGCTCGATGGTCAATTAAAGTCATCATCGATGTTGTATCAACAACATTTATTAAACATGCAAATATCATCTATCATTTTGTGCACTGCAAAGTCATAACTCAACAAACCAGCTAGCGTGATAACAGACATTGTCCATAAGAATAAGTTCAAATGAATGGTACAATAATATTAATACGATATTGTATTCACAAATTAAGTTTTAAAGTAAACATGGACCATCAGTAAAAACGATATTAATAATTGTGAAAAAAGCAAAGCAGGAACCTGCGCGTGCGTGAGTTAACTTTTCTATTTTCATTTTTAAAATATTTCAATACCCTTACACATATTTTATTAAATCCTTTAAAAGAAGTATATATTTAAATCCAGTATAACCTTATTTAGCTAGATTTGCGTAAGTAGCACGAAACTTAAACCCATTATATAATGCACATATACAGCATGAAAAATAAATTCAACACAATATGATATATACATGTATGCAGTTCATGTAAATAGTTCTACAGTTTGATGTTTTGTATTCTACAATATCCTAGTTCGTGTGTCAATGTGCACTATCACGTATTATTTAGATGAATCCCTAGTGTGTATTTGTATTTTTATGATTCATTTGCTGTGCAAAACAAAATGTTTACACTCGCAGGAAAAATTTTAATATCCTGCCAATGCTTAAATAAAAACTTGCTCTAGCACGGCTTACAGATTGAGAATGGTCACAAAAAATAAGGCAATTTTCAAATTTTTCTTCCGGTTGTATTTAATGTGAAAATTTATATCAATGTTAAACTTCGTGCATTATGTGTGTGCCATTTAATATAATAATGTATTTCGTGCTATTTGTAGTTCGATATTATGTACCGAACAAGACAAATACACAATCTTGCTAATTTATTTTTTTAGAAATCTGATTTAATCGATGTCTTATCATACTTTTGAATTTTGTTTAAGAATTAATTCAAAGTAGCAGCAGTGCACTCGTTTATGAATAATGATAATTTATCTGTATACAAATAAAGCATACGATACACAGTATTGTGCGCTTCAAAACCTTGCCTGATCATATTAGGTTTTTGATATAAAATAAAAAGGAGATCTTTAAATATCCATTAAAATCAGTAGATAATCAAGTGAAACAAATAGCCAGACAATTGACTTTTTATGTTGTTTATAGAAATTTTACTGTACTTTTTGTACATTTATCTAAGTTGTATTTTAAATATTGTCAGTTATTAGTAAGTCTTGTTATACTTTACGAATATCTATATATCTATATCTATATATCAGCTGACTTATTTGTAGCGTGAAAACAATTTATATCTAAATTTGTATATTTTCATTACATAGTATACCTAATAAATGTATAGGAAGAAATTGTCAAGCCGAATGAATTAAAATATAAGACATGATATGTATTGAAACGTAGTTTTAAACATTCTCTAATAAAAATAATGAAGCTTGAATCATCACGTTTGCTATTAATATGATATAATGTTAAGTTCATGCAAAACTTGTAGGTTGTATGGCGGAGAATGAACATGGAGTACCCTTTAACAATTGGAGAAATGACATTTTCACCTGACAACGGTATGTCCGTAGATCATTCACCGATGACCCACAGCAGTAGTAGTTGGGATTTATTAATCAAGAGTGTTAAACCCCAACATGCAGGAGTATATGAATGTCAGGTCACCTCAAACCACCTTATTGCTCAATATATCACACTCCATGTAGTAGGTATGTATATATAATATCATTTTTGTATATGTCCAAGCAATGTGGTATTGTAAATGACAACACGCTTCTGTTCTTTTATAGAAATTTAAGTTTAAAAAAATGGTTTCCTGATTTGAAGTAAAGAATATGTAAGATCAAAAGAATTTTATGAAACAGGAGATTCTTGGGAATTAGTGTCTAACAATTTTATGGAAGATGCCGCTTGCTCAGACGGGTTTACATTTGTTTATAGTTTAGATACTGCACATTAGGTTATAAAATAGTTTATTTTATAGTTTATGCTTAATATATTTTATTTTTTGTTTTCATAAGCGTCTTGTTATTTAGCTACAGTATTTATCATGTTCTATCACACCAGTACAAATGGTGTATAAGTAATAGAAAGAGCACCGAAACACGAGGCTATCTGATTTGTACGAGGGGGCGTAGCCCCCGAGTATAAATCAGATTGCCGAGTGTTTTGGTGTTCTTTCTCTTTTGTATCATAGTCAAACATGACAACACGTTCCCTGTTGTCATAATATGAAACCCTAGAAAAAAATAACCAATGAACGAGCATTTGAATATGATAGTTCTGCCCCTTTCCCTTTCTCTGCCGTCACAATATGTAAACCCCGGCAAAAATGAACCAATCCACGGGCATTATCTGGAGTGCGGGTAACTGATACCCGCACTCCAGTTACCGCACTGTGCATGTATATGTATACGATTTAACTCTGACACTTTTTCAACAGAAAGGTCTCCAAACTATGATACAAATATATTTTAAACAGTCATAAAAGAAAAAATATTAAATCAACCATCATTTTCTCGAACATTTTATTGACTTTTGTCTTCTAACAACTTTTTTGTACTTTTGAGTAGTTCACGTCAACACTTCTGTGGTGATATATTCGTATCACAAAATTTAATTGTCTTTTTAGTCAAAGTGGTAATTTGTTAAAACATTTATTTTCCTTCGCTTGAGAAGCAACTTTCGATGTTTTCCGTGTGTTGCTACTGGGATGTACGAATGCCCCTTAAATGTTGTTTTTTTTGGTAATAATTTCACTTTGATTTTTTACAGACCGATCACAGATAAGATCTGGTAAGTATTTGATTGATAATTGTTGTGCTTTTTAATGGTGGTGTCACAAAACACATTCTTATCATATATATGTGCTTTTATAACTCTTCGCACGAGATAAAACATTGCATTTAATGCATCATTTAACTCTTTTCAAAGTGTTCTGCATCTTTTGTTAAAATATAATGCGATGTAATTGCAATATAGATACATGTATCTTGTCTATGAATCCATACATTCAAAATTAGAGTCATTGTCAATACTAATCCAAAAATTCATCTTTCCTGATTGTGTCATATATATTGCCTACTGTGATAGCATATGTTCTTTGTTGCAAATGCGAATACTTTATTGAGAGAATTCAGAATAGTGTAAACAATCCGAAGGCCGGTTGTACTACATACTCGTCCCCTCTTCACATTGGCGTGCATGTCAACAAGGAGATCGACGTGCAATACTGAAAATAAACTTCGATTTTCATCGAATTATAGATTATTTCAAAATTAACAAACATTTATGTTTTTATTGAATTGAAATCTGTCTTTTTCATTTATTATTTGTGTCATTTTGTTACAACATTGTTTGTTTCTATTTTATTTTTTATGTATTAATTTATAGTATCTTAGTTTTCTATCTGAGCAAGCGACAGCATGATGGAAACCTTTATTTGTGTATCCTTACCTTTACCCTTTATGACACTTCACATTGGTTTTCTCACTGATATTGATATAGAGAGCTAGAACCTATTTAAATATACAAGTGTTTTATGTGTGATAAATAAATAACAGACAAAATAGAAAACCGATGAGGTAACATTGAAGACATTTACCAAAACTTTTAAAGTCAAATTTAATTTGGTGTCATATGTTCAAAATATCTCGAATTAAAATATCGTTTCCGCTGTTAAGATTTTAGCAGGTAAGCAACAGTAGTATAAAATGGCATCTATTATTTTCATAATTTATTTAAGATGCATATTGTTACACATACGAGTATCCTTTCAGAGAGCTTTTTCATTCAGCTAGATAGGTAACACAGTAACCTGTTGAAATATTTCAAGAGGTTCTTTTATAATATTATTTATATTATTATGAGATGATCGCGGCTTTGTTTTTACCATAGATATTTTTAATCAAAATACTATCAAACAAAACAAAACAATTGCTTTAAGAAGTAAAAAGGTCCATGTTTAAATAAAAAACAATTGTTTTGTCATGTGTTAATCGACTTTTTCATTTGTTCCGTTTTGATCAAACATCATATTTAAATTAATCGTTTTAACATGTTCAGTAACATTTGGTTGTGGTATTTCTAACAAGTGTAAAACAATGTACTTTACAAATTACAAAAATGTACAAGAAACAATTGTATTGTTGGTTACAAAATGGCTTTATACGGATTTTCATTCCATTTCGCAGCGTTGAAGCTATCTGGAACGAAGTTCGTAAACAAGGGGGAGAAAATCCACTTGGTTTGCAACGCAACTGGGGCAAGTCGTGCACCGGAAGCTGTGGACTGGTTCTACGAAGGAAATCGAATACACCCTTCAAATCCTATATGGAAAGGCCGGGTTGAAGTATTAAAACATGAATCATTTGAAGGCAAATACTTCATAAGTGAATTGATAATTGACCATAGTAAACTTAAGGACAAAGGACATTATGTGTGTAGAAGTTCAGACCTTACAGTTGACAGTTTAAAAGTACATGTTTTAAATGGTAAGATTATATTTTAGATAATTTTGTTTTCTGTTTTGTTAAATTAAACTCTAGATTTTATTTTCTGTTGATTTATTTATTTAGAATTGCAAATTTGTTTAAAATCATTGAGGTTATGGGGACATAATCGTATAATTTAAACATTTATTTTTCTAGGATAAATATAGCACTTATTTTTCTAGGATAAATGCAATGAACTCCTTGCAGTTGTATAGATACACGTCGAACTTCTTGGTGACATTACTACTGCCTACATATAACATATCACATTCCTATTTATTTACAGAAAACTATCAAAAGTTTTACTGGTTGTAAAAGTATTCTCTATTGCTACTTTAATTGGGCCGATAAGGTATATAAAAAATTCATGAAGTAATCTGTGAGAATGTCATATTGATCAATAAATTTATAGTAATAAATGATGTAATATCTTCTTTCAGAAAGTAGATTACTGATTTAGCTTCACTAAGTGAAACGAATAACGTATTTAATAAATTAAAACCATTGCTTATTTTTTATTCCAGCTGACAAAGACAATTTAACTAGGAGGTGTAAGTTACTACCTTTTTTACATCATTCACATTACAGCTTAAAAGCCATAAAAAGCTTAATATCAAACATTCTAGACATAGACAAAATAGTTGGGGGAAAATAAGCTGCACGAAAAAGCCTTCCTTTCCAAGCTATACTTTTTGAAAATCTATTTATATTCCTATTACAGTATTTATGAAATTACTGTCTTCTCCCTTAACTATGCTATAATGATAAAGCAGTGATAAATTTCAGGAAAAAAAGGTGTATGAAAAATAACAGTTTTCGTCCCACGTAGGGTATTGATTTGAACTTTTATAATAGCAAGTACCATCAAAAGTAAAATAATCCTAGGTGCACCATTTTTCATGAAGCTAGAAGATTCATATATATATATTGCTCTTAGTAGTTTAGGCTTTTTATTCTGCTATTATATTTAATCCGTTGCAATAAATTAGCAAATTTTATGCCTGTAAATCACGATTTTCATGAACAACTAGCACAAAAAAGCCATAAATGCAGTTTTCATATTGATCATGTGACTTTGTAAGGGTATCAATATTATTAGAGTTAAAACAAAAAGCTTCAACCTTTTTTCAGAAACGAAAACTGTGGGATTATTATTGTTAATGTTTAAAAAAAGATTTTCATTAAAATGTAATCGATTATGATAATATCGATAATAATCATTTGTGAAAAACGGGTGACTATTTGATAAGATTTTATTTTGAAATAACCAACAACCCTGTGTGGTCGAAGAATAAATTATCCGGAAAGAATATAACAGTTTCTTCTTGATACATGCAAATATTATGTTTGTATTTTCTGTATTTCTGCCTACAGTGTCTGGAAATGAAGGTCAAGATGGTGAGAGAAGTGAATTTAACACAGTTCCTGAAAATGCAACAAAATTGACTCGTGCAGACGCTGTTTTCGTTCTTATATTTGCAATTATCGCCCTTGTTTGGAGATGAAGTAAGGAGATGTGATATAATAGTTGATAATTTTTGCTACACAGTGCCTTCGTGATTAGGTTTAAAAGGATGGAGATTTGTATTGAAAAGTGGTTTCAGTTTGATAAAAGACTTCAGGAGAAGTAATGACTGCTGGCAGACAGACACACGTCTGAAATGGCATTAATTGACCTGTGAATGGATTCAGTAAAAACTGAATTGCATATCATTTAAGATTATTTTGTTGTGTTTTATGAATCAATTTGATTTCGACTTGGCGAGGATGATGTCCAAGAGAGAAATACACGGCCAGTGAGCATAGACTTTTTTCCGTATGATATTACTGATTGATACAATAAAATCTTAATCATGTTCATTGTCATCAAAGGTATTTTTGTGTCAGTGTTCGTTAGTTCAATTCATACATTTCTATACACCATGCTTCAGTATAACATATACAACCATCTGATGAATCATGTATCTAAAATATTAAGTTGAAAAGACTTACCGTATTACAAGTAACATAAATCTATTGTCATTTATTGGTTCATTTATATTATACGTCAGTCACAATTATCCATCTATTTCCATTTAATTTTAAATCTAAATATTACCTCTTCATTTTTTCATTACAAAATGAGACATCTTAATATTATCATTTCTTCAAACATTTGTTTTTCTTTTTTTTTTTTCAATTTTCAACGATGAATGAATGAATGTAATGACCTAACTTGTAAGTAGAAGACATTGTTTGTATAAAGTGTACATGGAAAACAATGTTACATCCGTAAAGTATATAAGAACCTCCCGTTTTTAACTATTTAGATTTAAAGAAAAACACATGATAGAAAAATGTTATGAATTTGGACTTAAAGCAAGTGTACCAAGTGCATGGTATCTTATGGATAGTTTGTTTTTGTCCTCTTGTTTATTAATATCAATAGTACATACGTTTATATGTTATTATATCACAAATCATATTATTTACGTCTAAAATTACCATATGTTATATCTTTCTTTTCCTATTCAAACGATGTCTTATGTTGATTTTTTTTTTCGAATAGATCTGTAACAGAAAAAAATATTAAGTGTTGATTCTTTTGAAGAAAAAAAGACACACACAATGCTGCAATGTACACCAACAATTGACTCATCCAGACTGCAACGTGTCCAGTTTTGAATAATTCTAATTGTTTAGTTTTTTTACAGATCATACAATCTTAACAATGGTAATTGATTTTATGACGTTTAAGTCTATTTGTTAACATAAGTTTCCTTTCTACAACAAATCAACACACTTGAATTACTTCATTCATTTGTAAATAATGTGTTCATTCGCTGATATTATTTCACTTGAATTTGAATTGTTTTATTTTATAAGTAAGAGAGTTTGTTGTGGTATAAACAGCTCTTGATTATTGTTCTCTTGATCATGTTATGTTTTGTGTAAGTATTAATTAAAGTTAATTAATGTTGACCATGACGAATATTCATTTTGTATATTGATAAGGTTAGTTTGTTGAAATCTATAATTATTTTTAAGTTTATTGTTTTTTTTTAATTAATGCAGTTTTTTAAAGTCTTCACAAATATTTCTTTACAGTAACTTTATTATTAACCTTAAGATAAAAATTTCCTATCATTTTTTATACAACAAGAATGATATGACGATGTAAATGAAAATATTTCTACTGCTTATAGTTTCTGCTTAGATTATTGAACAATCGCCTTACAGCTCAGCTGAAAATGTTGTAACATTATGGGTTTTTTTTCTACTGTTTAATAAATGATATTAAATTATGCGTATGTATAATTACATTTTTGACAAGGATGAAATTCATTTTTAATAAATTAAAATGTAACAATAGGTGAAAACACGTTAAATATAACGAATTAGATGAAATGGATATATTAAAGATATACTATGCTCATCTTAGAGTAAAAATGGATGTATTAAAGATATACTAAGCTCATCTTAGAGTAAAATATTTTTATCCCAGAAATTAAATGATATCAATGTAATTCTCTCTGAATATGTTTAGTTTTAATAAAAATGTACAAACTGCGTGTGGGAAGCTGCATAACCCATTAAAGGTCAAGTAAAGTTAGTCCCTTCTTGAAAAAAACTGCCAGTATTTAATGGCACTATATATTCTTATTGTGTCCATCTATAGTGTGTAGAGTTTAAGACATAAGATATCTACTTTGTGTGAAGTAAAAAAATATTTATCTGATATTTACAAAGAGACTTTGTAGAATTAAAAACATTATTTAAAATTATAGCATCTGAGAATAGTATATCTTTGAACCTGATGTTTCTTGTGAACGTCCGTGCATTTTAACGTGGTTTACAAATATTTTACTCCGGAATAAGAAATACGTGTATTTGGTTTTTTTCCCAGCAAATTCTGGAGTACAAACATACGTTTGCAGGCAATAGCTTCAAAAACAAGTGCAACATGTTGTGACTGGTCTATTTTGAGAGGTAGTTCACCATGAAGATATAACTGTAAAAGTGCGGTTGTACTGGGGGATTTGCTTAAAAAAGCCCACATGATAAGAACTATTGAAACATGAGATATTTTAAAGTATTTGAGTCAGGTCTTGCCTTAACAGCTAGAGCTTTATTATTTTATCAAATATTTTATAGAGGACCTCGGCTAATTTCTGTTTAGGCAATATGTAATTTCAATAGTTTTAAAGTGTTTCATTATCCATTCCAGAATCTACATGTGTTGTTTTATTTTTCAAAAACATTGGAAATTGTCTTCTATTTCAATATTTTTAATAAAATGAGAAAGTTAAAATTGTGTTTCTTGGTGATTCTAAAATAAGAAGAAATGTATGAAAAAACATCATCAAAATATGGAAGAAATTGAATAAAATTAAATTGGTTATCGCAGATTAGTCTATCCGTTAAATTTACAATGAACATATTAAGAACGACGTTAGGAATGTTTTCTTCACGACAAATTTCTTTGTTTATCTTCAAATTATACTTTTATTAGTGTATAAATGTTACATAAACTATCGACAAAACGTCTTTTTTCACTGTAAATATTCTTAAATTTATATCACTTTTATTTCTAAAGTCACGGTACGCCTTTACAGCATAAATTTAACGGGCTTTGAATAAATGAGAGTGTAAAACCTTTCTTTACGATCGTATGAGTGTAAACTTCAATTTCTCTATAATTAAGCTGCTACTAGTTTATCACCAGACGGGTTTGTACCACTCATTCGTTTCGTCTCTGTAAAAAAGTTTTTCTTTCATGGTCGTTACAATAATTAGCTGCACTAAAATGATATGATGTCATTTCATAATAGTCCCTTTCATGAGTAGAATTATGTAATAATAGATTCTTTAATGCAATGAAAACATTAATAAGCTGTTTAAGTGTGCTCATAAACGGCAATGAAAATAAGTTCCATTGAAGCAACATCAAACATAAAAACAAATAAAAGCAAAAGTGTTCTAAATTGTTCTAGTAATTTAAGACGTTTTGAACTTAGATGATTCTGCACAGAGCATGTTTGTGCTATTCCGTATAATGTCAGTATTTGAAGTGCCACAGCTTCCCGGGAATGTAGAAATTAATGAATTACTCTCTGTGTTAGACGTAAATCGAAACCTGATCAATACGGGTGATAAAAATAAAATATTATTGTAATTAAAAATAAACGTTTGCAACAAGTGTAAGTTTTGTTTTCATGTTATTTATAATGATTTTTCATTGCGATCAATTTGATACGTTGGCATAGAGAGGACATCAGAAATATGTTATCTATCACGTGCGCACGCGGCAGCTATTACATGCGCAAGCGATAGTTACTGTGTGCGCACGCGATAGCTACTATATAGTGCGCACACGATAGCTACTACGTACATGTACGCGCGCGCTCGTAGTAGCTATTGCATGCGCATGTGGTAGATAAAATATTTCTGATGACCCCTTATGCCAACGTAATTTGACCATACAATATAAAATTGTTTTATGCAAGATTTAAATATATACACGATTAGTGATCACCTGGCATTTTTTACACTGTCGTATTGAATTGACATTATGCTCAGTCAATGGTTACTGTTCAGGTAAAAGTAAACACAAATTAAAATAACTTTTGCCATAAAAATGATTTCTATAAATATCCATTCATCAAATGATAGAAAGTGTGGGACTTTGTGAAACGGGCTGTTCTTTTACGTTTAAGACAGTTTTTTTATATTATATCCTGAACAATTGTCATTTTTAAATATCGGTAAATAATAATAGCCTTTTTCAAATAGCTACTAGTAATTCAGCGAAGATAAAGCTAGGTGTCACTTGAAAATATCCCCGTCATCAAGATCAATTAAATAGATTAAACTAAAATGTCTACATTTAGTATTTCGATAATCGTCGAATATGATACACACATTCATGTAAATGGGCTGCTAAATAACCAGGGATAAAATCGATCATGTATGCTGAAAACGTAAGAAAATAAAATCGCTAATACACACTCGAAAGGGAACACATTGTCTTAAATTTGGTAAAAAAGAAAGAAAATATTGTCTATTACGATAAAAGGGTGGTGACATTTCAACTTCTTGAAACCTCTGTTTCATTTTCACGAATTCACAAGATCAACTGAATTCACGATTACATTGTACAACATACAGAATCCATGATATCAAGGTTCCAACTTCACGAATTCACGATATTATAACTTCACGATCTACTTCACGAATTCACAATTTCAACTTCATGAATTCAACTTCATGAATTCGCGTTCTGAACTTCACGGTTTCAACTTCGTGAATTCACGAGTTTAACTACGTAAAGATGAAATTTTGCATTCGTGAAGTTTAAAAGTGCAAAACAGTTGAAGTATGTTGAAAACTTAAAAAGCTAAAATTGTAAATTAATGAAAATGAGTTTGGAAATTCATGACGTTAAAATGTCTCGCCTGTCTTTCGTAGAACAATATAAAGTATATTTTTTCATCAATTAATAAATGTCATTATTTGTATGTTGCCTTTAATACAAGGTGTTCGATGATCTGTTGCTTTATTTAATCTTCTGTTGTACGTTTACGCTGAAAGTTTTACGTTTACGCTGAAATTTTCGTTCAGTTTGTTAGTCAAGATATGTTTATCCAAGATAATTTCTGCGAGCATGTACACATCGATATGTAAAATTACTGATTTATTTTTATTCCTTTTAAAATATGATAACTTTTAAAATATGATAAGCCAGGAAAGTGATCGATGCAACCCCACACGACCCAGCAACAAGGACAAGCGGCCAGGAGGATTCAAAACAAGACCGGGCATAATGCAGTGCTTAAGTCACGTACATATAGTCTGTAAAAGCCGTCCAACTAAAGGTGATTTTCCTTAAGATCGCTGAATATACAAAACCAGGTTTACTGATACTTCATAATCATACTTAGCTTTTCAAAACCGCTATATGAAATATTTCTGAACATTAAGTTTATAAAACATTAACCAATGTCTGAGATTTATTACCAAGACTTTATGGTATTAAATTTGAAATAGAAATATAAGTTTTAGTTGACACCTTTCATTTTAGTGTATGCAAGCACCACGGCAAATAAAAAATCAAGTGCTAATATATCCACTTCAACTCAGTGACCGTAAAGATATAATTTTAATGAGCGCCACGGGATATTCTTGTCATTTAGAAAAATTTTTTCAAACGTTCTGATTTGGAGTAGTGAAAAAACTTTTATGTGCTTTTCAATGGCCACTGGGAAAGAAAATCATCAAGTTATTTAATTTTATCTCTTTGTTTTTGTGCGGAAATCTGACGCACAAAGAATACAATTTCAGATAATATCACTGATTTAAAATTGAGTGCAAAGTTTTGTATGATGTGTTGTTTTTATCTTTGCTCTAGATTATTTCTATAGTTTATTTATCATATACCTTAGGTATGTACGAAAAAAATAACCTACAGTTTTCACTTATTTATGTTATAATAAATAACCTTTGGTCATAGAACTATTCCTGTACTTTAAGTTTCAAACATCGTCATACCAACACTTAAACGAAGCAAAACTATACATATCAACTATACAATTAATCTTTAACCTTGGAACATTAAAGTCGATTGTTTAAATTTGTTTAATTCGAGTTTTTTTTCTACCGCATGATTTTTATGTAAATTAGGACTTAACCTGTTTCAGCAGAGATTTATGTTACATGTACTTTATATATATATTTACTTTCTCCGTTAATGCTCTGGGCATAGGTTGCTACCGAAGAAAGTATTATTTGCCGTTTTAATTTATTGTTGCCACTTGACTACCTGAACCATAACCTTTTCTAAGATCATCTTCATAACTTCAAAGAAACTAATGGTAGAAATAGTTTTACAATTAGAAATATGTCAAGCGCTTGATAAAACCAGACGGCTGAATAATGTTTAGAAAATAACAGTAACAACAGCGTAATTTACCTGATAAAAATATTAAGGACAAAGTAATTGCGTCAGTATCCTGAATAGATATCAAATGAGATGTATTCGTGGCCGAGTGGTCATGAACATTCCCTTCGAACCACTTGTCCCTTACCGCTTCGTGATCGAATCCCATCAGGGTCTTGCACCTGTGGTTACCCCACCAATAAAGCTGGAAAGTCGTTTTATGACCTCTGCAGTGTAAAGCCCAGCACAGAAATATAAAATGATGACTATTTTGTTTAAGACATTAGTTAGCTGACTTTTAGAATATACTTTATTGCGTTTAGACTTATGTTAAATAAATAGTTGGAGGACTGATATGACAATTAAAGAAAACATTTTGGATTCCTAAGGTACCAACATTTTAAGCATATTTTCTATTTAAACCATTTTATTCGTAACCTTTCTTAGTGCCGTATCGATGTTCCTATGTGACTGGTTACTGTTGAGGAGCTGTGGTAAGTGAATTTTGATCTTTTTTTTTTCAAATTGATGCATCTGTGTCTAATTTCTATAAATGTCTTACCGACAAAGATAACACGTTAGTGTACGTTCTTAAAGTAGATATTACAAGTTATTGCACTATCGAATATACATTAAACAGCTTATCAACGCATAAAATAAAGTTTTATAAATTGCATTACTTCTTTCGACACACTTCCCGATTATTCAATTGTTCACGGAACATGCCAATTGACGAATAACATTTCATTTACTGTAATATCTTAATCTTACAGAGTTTTGCATGAAAGCAAGAGATAATACATGAGAGCAAAATGTTCTATTGATTACGATACTTGGCACCAAAATATCTTGTAATGTCGCTTCCCATTAGGATTTAGCTGTAATATTTGGTTCTTACTGGAATCTATTCTGACAAGTTTGTTATAAATGGCACCATTGCTTGTAAAGATGTAGTACAATGACATCTTTACTGTTGATAATTTGCTGGGTTTTTTAGATTGAACTAATTTTCCATTGTATAAACACATGCTCATTAAATAATTGCTTAACCAAATATATTAGAAAGAGTCTGTAATATTATTTTTCTGACATATATCTTTATAGAATTTATAAAATGGGACGATGTCTTTTATTCTAGGAAACAAATGATTCCATTTCAATTGTCCTTCTAATACATATTTTAATTATAAAATTTGAAAATATAAGAGCAAAACAATCTGTTATTAACATAATATTACCTGTTGTGTGTACATATTAAATATATCTCTTTTCCAAGTTTTATTCATTAATTTGCCGCCATTATACTGGGGTAAATATAAGAACTCAAAAATACAAAGTAATAAAAAATGTAAGGCAATATTGTTAACAATAACTGACAAAAAATAAAAACAAAATTGGATTTCTCTAAAGAAATGGGAACGTTCAGAAATGTCGAGACACAAAACATCTTCTTATTCTGTTCATACTTATGATTGATAAGGTAAAACTACTTTTCGTTTATCACTTAAAAATAATTTTAACACAATATATCTTACATGTGAAACGGTTCACAAGCAAAACGTACATTAGATGATGATTCTTACCGTGTTCTAAAAATAATCATAATCATCATCAAAACGACATAAAAGATTAGATTACAATAAGAGTACACTTAAACAGTGTCGCTTCCTCAGTCCTGGTGATGAAATAAACCCTTGGTTTCATATTGTATCTCGATATGGCCAATTCATTTACTAAAAAGACAGTGCTATAGTATTAGCATACTCGTAGTCCCAAAAGAGCTCTTATGACGCTTATTCTATCAA